GATCTCCATACAAACTCCTTCTCAGGTCAAGTTAACTATCCATGAATAACCAACCTCCGAGCGCTCAATATTAATATACTATTAGAGTTGATTATTCGTTAACCTTTTGTTTGATATTGGATGGGAGGAAACGAAGGCAAAGGGAAATTGTGAGATTAGCTTGGGTTCAAGCGTTAAATTGAGTCCTGAATGGTGCACCTTTAGGCTATGATTTCTTGCTTCTCTTACGATAAAGTTTCGTTTCAATTTGATAAAGAGAGAGAAGAGAGAGGAGAAAAAATTGCAGAATATCAATCCCTGAAGGGATTGAAGGATAATATTTATATACAAATAAACGACATTGAGGGATGAAAATTTATACATATTAGCAATATGATAACCTTAAGTAAAAAAATGTTTTCTCGGTCAACTTTATCCATGCAATCATCATCATCTTCATTGACCAATCATTTTCTGCTGATTTTGGGCTCAAAAAGTTTACTTGAAATATTGATCTTTGCCTTTTCTGAGTAAATAGATTTACTTTTTATATTAACCTTGTTAGAAGAGCGAGAGAGTGCCAGAGTGATAAAGATAATAATTTAATGAATAATATATTAATTTAATCAATAAAGACTTTCATTGAATGAGTAACATCAGGAGAAAATGGAAACTGAAAAAGAAAATGAAATCTCAAGTTGCCTTTTATAATTGGTCGATTCTGTAGAGTAAGTGATTCAATTTTTATGATGAAATGAAGAAACAATTATTGTTGAAACATGAAAATCAGATTGTTATTGATCGCAATTATGTAACAATAAAAAGGAAACTTGTATCATGTTCAACATGAAATTAGGTTCAACAGATTTGGGGAATAACAATTGGAAATTATAATGGAATATCTGATTGAAACGATTGAATGAGAATATCAATGATATAATGATATTCGAGAAGCACTAAACATGAAATGCAAATAAATATAAATAGAAGAGTCAAAATTAAAGTTCAAGTATGCCTCAACTCAAGTTACTAATAATTGTTGCCTCATCAACTGAATTTGATATTTGCAAGCAACATTAAAAATTACAAAAGTTTATTTCATGAGAATATTTCAACAGACAATTTTCCCTATTCACTTGCAAATCCTCCTTGAATTGAATCCCAGGAAAAGGTTAAAAGTTACGAACAAATTAACACCAAGAATCAGGTGCATCTCACCTGTGAAAGTGATTAATGATGCTAATGACAATGATCATAATGATGTTAACACTGAACAAGTGTTTAATCAAATAATTAGATTAATATGAAATGCTAATTCTGCTCCAATGGATAAACTATTAACTTCATTTACCCAGAAAAACTTGCTGACTGAAACAGAATCCTTTTTCGCTATAAAATTGCGAAAGTAAGTGATGATTTTGAGCACAACGAAAGGATCTTCCAGTTAGCTTTTGACTCGAAATGGACGAAAGAAGACGGGAAAACGAAAATGTTATCTTGTTTCCTGTCTCAACCCTTTCGATGTGAAATTACTTTTCTTACTTTTCTCAACTTTTCATCTTCTTGTTAGCATCCTTTTTCACCTTTAACTTTTCACTTTAACAGATGCTAACTTTTACCTTTTCACCAAAGGTTATCAATCAAATTTGTTCACCTTCTTCTTAATCAATGTTCATCAATTTTCTCATCACCCACTTATCCATAGTTTGGTCTTCCATCAACTGTCAGCTTTCCATCGCACTCCAAGCTCATTCATCATTCCCTGTTGGCTGAAACGATGAGAGAGAGAAAAAAACTGATATTGTTTACAAGTAAACAGAGAAAAAAAGAGAATCAAAAGAAAAGGATAAAATCAAAGCTTATAACAATCCAAATAAACGATAAACTCTTGAACCTCATGTTTCACTGGAAAAAAGTGTACTAATGAAATTGTTGGTGAAACTCACCAATCAATAGTGAAAAGAGAAAAGGAAAAGTTTAAAGGAATCATGAAAATGGATTATAAAGTGATGAAAAGATGAGCAAAAAAGCGAGTGAAAAAGAGATAAGGAAAATCATGAAATATCTAATATAATCTGATGAGAAAAGTGAAATGGTTTTTTCTTTACAGGGAATTGTGACAGTCATGATGAGAAGCAAATTACTCGAGAAGAAAAAAGTTGCACATTCTTGTCATCAAACTCTTCTTCTCAGCATTTTATTATTATTATCATGAGAGAAAAAATGTATTCCATAAAATGATGAGAGGAGAAAGTTGCAATGAAATTTTCTTCCTCTTTTTACTGACACTAATAAAAGCCCTCCAGAGATACTTGAATCATCATGAGTAGTGAAATTAGTAGTTAAATGAAAAAAAAGTTGAATCCATAAAAAAAGCAAAATTGAATTTTCTCCACCAGATTTGAACTTTCGAACTCAACATTTTTCTTCGAATCGGTAAATTGATAAGATTGATTGGAACGAACATTTGGCTCTTCATTGTGTTCATGATAAAGTTGCAAGGAATGAATCATGAACATTTCTCGTGATTTCTTTTCATGATAATTTTCGACCAGCAGTTATCATTATCATGGTAATGATGATTACTGTTTGGCTTTTTGTTGAGCAAAACTAATGAGGGAAAAGTTTGGATTTTGGTAATAAAATGAGAATAACAAGTTTCCATAAAGTGCATTAAAATGGGGAAAACAAAGAGAAGGAAAAAAATGACTTTTGTTGGAATGATGAGCATCATGATGGTCATGATGATGGTTATGAGAATTTTGGATGAAAATGAGAGGAAAAAGAAAGTCAATCAAAATTGAGTTATCAAGTGTTGCTACTCAATTTATGGTTACAAGAATTGCTATGTGTGTTGACCATTTTCTTGTGTCTGTTGAGGTCAATCCTCTGTGGACAAATAGTTGCCTCTTGTTGGACCATTTGTTGGATCTTGTCTTAATTGACCATCATTAACAGTTTTACCAGTTATAAGATGAAAGAGTTGTTGAAAAAGAGTCCAACTCTTGGTGTAATTCATTTCAATGGTTGACACCTTTTTTTTGCCTTTTGCGTTTTCTTCCTTCTTCAACTCCAGACTCAATTATTGTTCACTTAATTTATGGTTCAACCCTTTTGGTTTGGGTTCAAAACAGCCAAAGTCAAAACAGCCAAGTCCATAACAGCCAAGTCCAAAACGGCAAAAGTCAAAACAGCCAAATACAAAGCTGCTTAAATCAAATAAAACTACTTAAATGATCAGATTTATTAGGGGCATCAAAAAGTACTTTTGTTTTTTTACCATTGACTTTTGCTTCAATTTTGAATAAGTTTGACTTAATCAATTGACTCAATAATTTTTAGGACACAAGAGCATCGAAATAGGTGTATGTGGGCCATTTTCTGACTCGATCGGAGTTAATTAAGTATAATTAATTAGCTTATCAATATCCATAGGCAGGTTTTTTTTGGACTTTTTTGCAATTTGAATTGATATGATTTAAGCAGCTTTGTATTTGGCTGTTTTGACTTTGGCCATTTTGGACTTTGCTGGTTTGGACTTGGCTGTTTTGACTTTGGCTGTTTTGGGCCTTTACCACCCTTTTTGTTTCATTTCATCCCAAATGTTGACCAAACTCCAAGATTAATTGCAAAATAAAACGCTCAAGAACAACATGGAAAAATATAAGTTTACCTTAATTTTTTCCTCATTTTCGTTGCTCAAGCTGAACAATAATAAATGAATAATTGGATGGATAAAATTTCAAAAATTGTTACCCAACAAATTAATCATAACATTCAGTTGTTTATCCAGTTATGCAATGGCCAAGTTTGTATCAAGTTCAATAAAATTGTGGCAATTAATTGCTTCCCAAGTGGTTTATTATTTTTGTTAATTATGAATTGATGAACCAAGTGAGAAGGTTAGTTTTTTTTAAATTCACCGCTACAATGATTGAGCGTTGCATTCATAATTTACAGAGCAGTCTCAATACGAACGATATTGTTTTTGCATTATTTTTCATTTCATCCTAGAAAATTTGATTTGCCTCTGATGTCTCGTCACTGGTAGATTGTTTAAAGGATATTTTTCTTGTGCAAGAGAGTTCATACATGAATAGTCTCTCTGTAGGCTCACCTATGGAAACCTTGTAGGACTTTTACTTCCTCTAAATGATCAAGTTTGAACACCTTTCCTGCACAAAACAGTCTCACAAACCGTTGCCTAGTTTCAATTGACCAGCATGGCTAAATCGGTATATCGTTACAGAGAAGCTAATATTTCATTTAGATTTTTAATCTTACAAGGGAAGTGCCCTGTAGATTGCGATGCAATATCTTTACTTAGAAGGGCTCAAGTAGCTAACCTAACCCAACCTAATCTAACCTGACACCGCACTAGCGAAACAAAGTAAAAGTACATAAATGTATCTAATTTCTCGTCATCTACAAGATGAGCCAGAAAAATTGCAAAAAACTGTTCAAGCAAGGGCATCTCCCTTGTTAGGAAATTTACTACGCGGGTAAAGCCCTTTGTTGGTACTCGACGCATTAATTGGTATTGTTGCTATTTTCATCTCGGGTTTATTTGCCATTTTAATTTAATTGTCTATCAAATCTATTGTACTCATTACATCAACAGTTTTACAATTTCGTCTTATGTTGTTAGTTAATTATGCAAGTTGTAAAATTTTGAATAAAGGTTAATTTATCCAGTTTAGTTGTCTGATTGAACAATGGTTCAAACAAAATCAACTTCAACAAAGAATCGCTCGAAGGAAAGTAATTTTGAATAGAAATTACAAGTTTCCGTTGAATCGAGCAACAGTCTTCTAATTTTTCTCAACTTTCTCTCTCTAATCCTTAATTCATCTTGCAACAATTAATCAAATTGTCACTCCAACCAATTGTCCAATGCTATCTTGAATCCTAATTCCAATTTCCCCTTTTCCATGCAAACTTTTCTTCTCTTCCCAATTCTCTCGATATTCAAAGGTTAATACCAGACTAAAGAAGGTTATTCAAGGTTGATTAAATCTCACCTTTATCTGTCAACTTGGCAACTTGAAAGTAAACTTGAAACTTTGTCCAATCGCATCTGATTTTCCCTGTTGGCACAACGTTACTTCACACAGAAACTGGATCAATCTCAATTACAACAGATTAATCACTAAAATGGAAGAGTTGATTAGAGCAATTTTATCCACCATTAAATTATCATGAAAACCATACAGCTTTCTCCTTCCTCCAACTGAACAATCCAAGAAAAGGGAAACCAGATAAACGAACTTGTAAACCATACAGAATCAGAAGCTCGAAACATTCCAAATCGATTCTGTTCAAAGAAAAAGAAGAAGAAGAAAAAAAGAAAGATATTGATTCTGTTGTCATTCCATGAACATTTGAATTTTCAATGCTTGTAAATGTTTCCATAAGAGAGGTGAGAATATTATTCTTTATCATTCCCAGATTTATCAGATTATGCAATATTTGGCTCGACATTTCCTCAAAAGTAAACTAAGAAGCGAATGAGAAAAAAACTCATAACATTTTGATCCTCTTTTCTTTTACTCTGAAAATGTATTGATATAACAAGATGAGAAAAGAAAATTTTTTATCAGAATTTAAAGCGCAACAAGAAAAATTTTCTTCTTCAGTTTCAATTCTTTTCGAAAAACTCTTGAAATATACTTTTTCCATGGTAATAGCATGATGAGAGGAGAAATTATTTCCATTATTATTAGTATCATTTTTTATTATTATGATTATCATTTCAATTTGGAGGGAAAAAGTTAAATCTCTTGAAAGAGAAAAAGTAAACCAAAAGAAAAAGTTGAAACTTGAATTGAATTTTAAAGCATTTTTTTCCATGACAGATTCAGTGAGGAAAGAAGAGAAAGGAATAGAGAAAATTCAATTATATTATTATGTGAATCGAAAAGAGAAAAGTGGAAAAAATATTTCAAATCAATTGTCAATCTTTACCAATGATTTAATTTCATGTAAAGGAATGAAAGTATCATTTGGAATTGAAATTTGTAAAGTTGAACAATTTGCAATTTTGGACAACTTTTTGGATCGAAATTCCATTTTTTATCCTTTAATCATTTCATCCGATTCAAGTTGAAAAGTCAATTTAATTGTCAACTTTATCAGTCTTCATTTGCTTCATCAATTTCAAGAGCTTTATGAGCTTTAGTTGCTCATTAAAAAGTTAATCAATGTCGAGAGGAAAAGTTGATAAACAATAATGAAACTTAAACCGGGATTCAATCCCAGTTGATTTGAAATGTTATTTTAAATGAGCTTTGATTTATCCTCTTCTGTCATCATTTGTGGTCATTGTCAAGCGACTCATTAAAAAGTTCTTCAACTTTTCGAGAGAAAAAAATTCTGTTTTTCGAAAAAAATTTCAACTAAAGCTTCAAGGCAATGATTGCAACTTAAATTGGCACCAATTTTGTTGATTCTCATTCTTTACCTGAGGAAATAATCAGTTGAATAAAGTTGAATATCATTTGGCAAGGTGAATATCAACTGAGAAAATCAAAGTGTTTTTTTGTTGCCAAAAAAGAAGTAAAATGTTTGATTGTGAAAACTTTGAAAAGATTAGGTTTTATGAAATGGAAATTGAAAAACAAGTGGAAAACTGAATAAAAGAAAATCAGAGAAATGAATTTTTAGATTCCCTGAAGGTTACCAGAATAGAGGGAAAAAAGGTTTTTGCCATTTCTTCATGAGAAGAAAAAGGAAAGAGAAAGATTGAAGAGAATAAGTTGAGAGAAGAGAAAAAAGAGAAAAAATAATACAAATTGTTCAGATAACTCAGGCTAATATGGATGATAGCTTATTTACTGAGCAACAATTTGAATAAAGAATTGTTTTGCAAGAAAAATGGCTCAAATAGAATGGATATTTTAATATCTAATTGGTAATAAATTATGAGTTTTGTGCTCTTTTCAAGCGATTACAATGAAAAGAAAGTTTCATTGTTGACTTTGAGTATAAATAAAAAGGAAATATCATGTTAATATCATGTGAATGGAGTTATTCCGATTTCAGTTTCTTTCCTTGAAAATGCTTTGAATTTTCAATGTCAATTTGATTTACGAACACAACAAAAGGGTCAATTTTGGGTTTTCTCAGCTTGAATAGAATCTACAATTGAATTAGCTCAATGAAAATGTATTAAAGTTATCAGAGTTTTTCACTCCCAGTGTCTTTTGTTTCACTTGTAGCTAGTTGCAGTTGCAGGCTGCCAAACTGTTTGGTAACAAGTCGAGTGAAAAGTTTAGCTTGTCTGGACAAATTGAGAGAAACAAGGTTAAACAAGTTTCTATGATTTTTATTGTCAACATTTAAACTCTATCTTTTAGTTTTCATTTTTAGTTCAACATTTTCTCAGTCAATTGTGATCTTCTTTTGTTCGCTTTCGGTGCAAATTTGAATCCTCATTTTCAATGTTATCTTATTCATACAAAAGGTAAACAGTTGAAGTTCAACTTTTGAAATGACAGTGCAAAGGCAAACAAAAGTAAAAGATACAACTTGGCTGTGCAATTGATCATGTTTAATAATGATGACAAAATTTTCTGTTTCAACTTGATTTGCTCAAGATTTACACAGACGACTATCAATCAACACTCCAAATTATCTGAAAATGTTTCCTGGTTCTGTCAATAGCTCAAGACTAAAATAGAATCGAAAATGAACTGAAGATTTTATTTACAGAAATTGAAATTCATTGCTGCATTAAACATAAGGTACATCAATGGCGAGACTATAGTTATGATAGTTTCAATGATTTTTGCACGATCTTTTTCTAGAAATAAGTAAATATTAGGAGTTCACAAGATTTTCAATGTTTCAACCGAATAATTATCATAATTTTGTGAGTCAAAGCATATTGTTACAAGTTAACTTTGAAAAGAGATCAAGTTGAATGAACATTAATTTATTAAGCTAATTAAGTTTTGATATTTATTCAACATACACTTTTGTACGAAAATAGAAAATTTGATCTCTCAAAATAAGTGCATTGGTTTTTACAATAGTATCAAGTTTTGTGGAAAAATCTGTAACCATAATTGTACAAAAACTAATCAGTTTCATCGAAAAATATCGATCAGAGAAACTTTTTTTCTTTAATGAACTTCCATTTATACTCCTACGAACTCACTGGCTCTCAACGCTCAACTCGAAAGTAAATTGTTTTCAACCCTTTTCTCAAAACTACGTATTACGATAAGTCAAACATCGAATAACCACAATTTCGCTATTCTTTTCTTTAGCAAACGATGATTCGAATACTTTCAATTGTTTGAGTATCCATTCTGAGTATCATTATAAGAATATTGACGGTTAATGGTTGAACAATTTTTGCATGTCGATCAATACATTGTGCACCATTTGAGTGGTCAATGGTTTGAACTGTTATTTCATATTTATCGCATTTCTATCAAACTATCTATTCTTATTGATAAATATCTTTGCAATATGAGCCGAAACCTTAGAAACATTGATCAAAGTGCAAAAAGCGCAGCAAGAGAAAATATTTAATGACACAAAACTGTACAATGTTTGAAGAAAGTGAACAAATGAGAAATTGGCTTTGATGCTTGGCTTGATGGTAACAGAAAGTCAGGGAAACAAAAATGCTGATAGCAACAGTTTCCATTGAAGAGTCATCAATCATTTGGTGCAAAATTTTCATTTCCAAATAAAAGGACGTAAACGCTGGAAGCAATCAATTCATTTCAACCTTATCAAGATAATAACTTAATTAACGTGCCAATTACACAAAATTCATTTTCACCAGCATTTAGTGACACAGCATGAAGCAGAAATACTCGGGTGAAACAGAAAAAAACTCGATAAACAAATGGAGTAGACGAAAGAGTGGAAAAAGAAAATCACAGAACAAAAAATTGTACAGAAAGAGAAAGTTAATGAAAAGCGTTAATGAAACACGCTCAAGCAGATCAATTGATTAGAGAAATAAAAGAATGTAATTAAAGGAACATTGATTGATTACAGAAAATTTTGAAACTATTCAAGTCTCGAATCTATGGAACAACAAAAAATGCGTTCGTTTTTATCAACTTTTTTTCTCTCTCTCTTTGCCTTCTTCAACCTTTTCTCGAATCGTAAACAAAAGAAAATCGAAGATTTCATGAATCAATGAACAATGACATTGGCAAAGTATTAATTATATTGCATTAAATCAAATGAAATGCAATTTGACATAAAGATTAATCTGCAAAACCTTCAGATGTAATTAATCAAAGTTGGTAACATGTTTTTTGTTTCCTTCATCCATTTGCCTTCTGATCAGTTTGATTTACCAAAGAAGAAGAAAGATTCGGAGTGAATTTGATTAAAATGTAACTTTCAACGTTTCCAGCGAATAATGTTGAACCTGTTTACAGATTCGTTGACAATAATAATATTATCAAGTGAACATTTGATAGCCTAAAGAAACAAGAGGCAAACAATATAACATAATAAAGAAGATAATCTACAAGAGTTTAATAACTTTTCATCCTTTTCTCTTCTTCTTCTCGCCTTCTTTTTTCCATCTTCTTCATCCATTGTCTTGTTCATTGATCGATAAATAAGATGAGTAAACATGAAGGCAAACAGAGACAACAGAAAATCTGTTCAGATGAAAGATCAAATGTAAATAATGTTTGACATTGATAAAGTTTCTCACTTTTTACATTTTCTTTTTTAACTTTGTTTTATTCTGTTTGTCATCTTTTTTCGCTACTCATTCAGCAAATGTGCTTTTGTTTTGTCATGATAAATGCTGTGGAAATTCATGATGAAAGTTGCTATTTGTAAAAGAGCAAAAGAAGTTGATTTAGTCTGTTTTTCCTCTTTAATAAAGGATAATTTTTTGTCTAAATATGTTGCAAGTCTGAAGATTAGTTTTTTTAGACTGGGATTGCATTTAATCATGAATATTTGAATAACAAGATATCTCGGCAAGCACACGAGACAAATGTAACAACTTCGCATTATCTGTAGAGTTTCGATTGTAACCTGCAAAAGACCTCCAATAACCTTGAAAATTTGTTATATCGTATATCGAGTTTGAACTGATTGTGCTTGGCCGTTCGTCTGTAAACTTGAGGCTTAGATAGGTTACCGAGTCTGAAAATGAAGGAGCCCATTTTAACGCAGTAAGCTTGGAATCAAAAGGAAAGAAGGAAAAGAAGACAGAAAAACAAAAAAAAATTCTGTGTTTATTGCTGTTTTTTAGATTTCAAAAGTTGAAAAACTTTTTACTCTTTGCAAAATTTTTGAAAAAAGTTTTAAAACTTTTGAAATCTA